TGGGTTGTTTGGAGTGTACGGAGGCCATGCAGTTGTACAGCTGCACATTTCATCAAATAATAATTTCCTTTATTTACAAACATAATGACTCCAGTAAAACAATTGAGTCTCTTTCCTACAGTCTCTGTCATGTCTCTGCAATGTTGAATGACAAGCAAGCATCAAAAGAAAATAATTTGCTTGTTTATAGTAGCCTCATTGCAGCGTTGTGGTCGTTTGATTATCTTATTATGAAAAAGGTTTTTGGTCTTTTACAGGCTTAGGCAGGAATAGAGAGAAGCAGGGAAGGTGAGAGTGAAAGCACATTTTGCCTTGCAGAGTTGCCTTTTACTTATCAGAAATAAGGCTGATGTTATCACCTACTTGCTAGTCAAATTTGACAGGAGCATTTTGTTAAGCCACTTTCTCTGAGTGGGAATTCTGATGAACACAGCTCTCGTCTCCGGTTTCAAAGTATTACTTTACACTGTTCCCAAGCATTGTTTGCCTTAATGGATGAATTATGACAGTATGTCAGAGAAGCAGATAATTCACAGCCTCATTTTATAAACTGAGAGCCCAAGGCACTGTTGTTTAACTTGCATAGCTGCAGAGCTGTGAATGGTGCCCAGGTCAGCCACCCAGTCTTAGTTTGATGAAAAGTTTGCTAATGTGGCCTGAGTATTTCTCTTCATGAAATTACAGCTACTGAAGAATGTCATGACATTTTGCCAGGGACCTGCTTGCAAGTCAAGGGGAGATGGGTAGTGCTTTTGGCAGACTCCTGATGTACTTCTATTCCAGATGCTCTTTTTGCCACTAAGTTTGTGTGTTGATAGCACTGAAAAAGGAGTTATCTCCACTTGATCTGCCTGCCTGGCAGATCTGTCCTTAAGTAATTGAACAGTTGGTCACCTATTGAGCTGGTCTTTTTGAAAAGATAAATTAGAAATTAATTTTGAGGCCAAAGCAGGTTTTATATGACTGTGCCATAAACTGCTTACCAGCTTTTGAGACCTGCATAGCCAGTATCAGGGCTCTCACACATGTTCATCTTGCTTGTAAGGTCCATCTCTGTTTGCAGAGTATGCACTTTGGCCACCTGCTTCTTTGAATAAACTAGTACTGTAATATCACCATATTTTATACAAAGCACATGCCACTTTTGCTCACTAAGGCTTCTGAGATTGGGTAAAAGAAGCAAATCCAAACTACTGTCCCTGGTTATGTTGGGATATTTTCACACACCACTACAGTGGTACAAAATGGTTCCTTTCTGCCAGTTTGTGTACCCAGCTGATCCCAGCTCTTTGGTAACAGCAGCATCAGTGCAGTCCTGCTGGTCAGAACTGGCCTTCACAGGAGACTGCTGGCAGTAGAGATAGACCCTTTGCAGCACATGTGTTCCTGGAAGGACAGCTGATTGCATAAGTAATGGCCATGGTGCTCCAACTCAATAAATCAGGGGGTGGTGAGAGGCCTGCATTTAATTTCTTTTGCCTTCTCAGGAAGTATTTTGATTCTTCACAGATAATATAGTTGGGAACAGGGAGGTAAAGCTCTGTTTAACGCCATTGCAGTTGAAGTACATACAAATACATTGAAGACAAGTGGTGGGATTCAGGGGTGGGAGGGGTGGGCTGGTACTGTCCTTCCTTCAGTCTAATGGCTGATTTTTAACAAGAGATTGCTGAGGCATCCCCAAAACACAAATTGTCTTGGCATATCCATGGAGGTGATCCTTTCCAAAATGCTGCTGCTGCTGTTTTGGCATTCAGAAGCTCTGCAGGAGGTGTATCCATACCTCCCTGGGCTGTCTCACCTGGGTGGATATGTAGGGATGCTAGGACACGGTTCTTGCCTCTGCTAATTAAAAAGCCCCTTGTCTCTTAGGTTCTCACTCCCACATTTAATTAGACACCAGTAATATTAGCTTTTAAACAGGAATTGGAAATGCAAGTGACCTTATTGTAGTAACATGCACTGAGTGGAGATGAGTTCCCCTTTCCTGGGGCAGAAGCTGGTGGCACAAAGCCACATCCCAGTGCCCCCAGCTTCCTATCCCCTCGGTGCAGCACGTGGCCGTGAGCTGCTGGGTGCATGGAGAGATGGCAGCTGGCTGCAAATGAGAGGGCTTTGAAGAATAAAAATGAAGCTTGCTCCTTTCTGCATCCATCAGTCTTGGAAACATGGCAGCAGGAGGCTGTGGGGAACTCTTTAAATGGTCCTACAGCAAGTGGAGCAGGGAGGGCAGCTGGAGAGGCTGTGTAGGGGATGTGTGCCTGCTGTGCTGTGTTGGTGTTTTGCAGTACTGTGGAAATCTCATTTCCAAGGCAGTTAAACCTTGTTTATTCTGAATTCAGTTTATTGTAATGTTTTGTAATTGTAAGTATATTTTTGATTGTAGCAAGTTATTTGCAGAGGAACAGGAACCTTGTGCCGCTTTGGAGCAATTGTCTTCCCCAGTGCTCCATTTTTAGGCAGGTTGAGTTTATAATTTTAGGTGCTGTTTGGGAAGGATTTATGCTCTTTAGGGAGGGCTGAGCAGCACCTTCCTCAGCAAATGGTTGGCAAGTGCCACTGTTTCTGGAGTTCAGATTGCCTCACAGACCCTCACCAGTGCTGCCTCCCTGCACACCTCAGCACTGGATATTAAAATAGAGCTTCATCAGCCCTGGCCTGCTCCCTGCAGCTCTCCTCAGGTCCGTGCTGACCAAGCTGAGGTGCTGGCTCAGCCCCCCAAACTTTCCACCCATACCTCTCATTCCCCTTCCCATACAGGCTCCTAAACCCATTTTATGCAACACCTTGTTTCCAGAAGGGCCACAAAAAACTTCTCAAAACCTTTTTTTTTTTTTTTTCCTCTTTGATTTGCTAGAACAGTCTTTATTCACAGCATAAAATGAACACCTCATACTCCCATGCTCTTGTAAACAGTTATGAATAACATAGTTTTAAAAGGTGGGAAAAACCAGTAAGGTTTCTCATCCCCAACCAGTTGGGTTTGTTTGTTTATTTGTTTGTTTTTCTGCAGAATAACCTTTTTATTCCAGGCTTTATTTATTTTGTTGTGTTTTTCTTTTCAAACAAACACAACTACCAATGTATAGACCTAACTTTGTATAGCTGTTTTCTTGACCTTGCCCATCCATCTGTACTATGTGTTGAGGGGATATCTTTATACTTCGGTTATTGGAGTTTTAGTTAAAATGCTGTTACCTTGCAACTTAATAGTAACTGACCCGTTTCCTAGTCTGCAAAACAGATAGTGTCTTATTTCCTATTTATTGTTCTGAAACAACTCCCTTTTTTCATGTAATAGGCTTAGCAAAGCAATGTCACTTCACCACTGACAGTCCTAGTGTTCCTGTATTTCGATGATTTTTCAAGCTGAATAACCTCCCTTTTGCTTAAACCCCATTGGGAATTGCTCTGCCTATGGCTGTGAAGTTTTTGGTTCATTTCTCCATCTCTGCCATTGGCGTTGTGCCACGTTAGGCTCTGAGTTACTATTATTTGGCAGTGGCTCCAAAGAAAAATGCCAGTGTTTTGGGACTGAAATCCACTTTTTTTTTTTTTCATTGTGGACATTGCCCTCTTCCTCTGGTTGCTTTCTCCCCATTACACTTTTCCCCATCTTCTATATTGCTTTCCAAGTCACCAGAGTTGATCATAGCTTGTGCAAGTGCAGCATCTCCAGAGTGATGGGTCCAGGTCCAGGCTGGAGTCCATATGCCTTTCCCAGCTGCCCATATGCAGCAAGGCTGCAGCTCTTCAGTGTTACCAAATATTATTATTTCAAAAACTCCTTATGAAAACTTGAGTAATTGGGCAAGTGACAAAGGACTTTCTGTTTATCTTTTTGAACAATGGAAAATACCAAATAGCCACAATTCATTCCAGTTATTTAGTGCCTTTGTTCCAGAGCCATTTCGTGGGCACAGGATTTAATTCTGCAGGAACGCAGGAAGATGGTGACTTGTTTCTATGCTTAAAAAATATATATACAGAAAAATTTTAAAATGTTAAAGTTTCTTTACTAGGAAAAATGTTTTTCACTTGCCCAATACCAAAGCCTTAAAGCCTAAGGAAGATTTTCTACTGTGTATCACAAGTCTGAAGTTATTTTAATAATCAGATGAGACTTTTAAATAGATGCTGATATCTTTGCTTTTCCAGAGAATCCTGCAGTTTGGAAAAGCGTTTCACAAAGGTTCTCGTTTGTACCCTGACAATAGTAGGTTTGGCTTGCAAGTAAGAACTAAGCAAATATCAGAATGAACACTAACCAAAACACAATTATATTGGCATCTAAGAGGCTGATCAAAGTGGGTCGTGCCGATTAAAGCGGGAAATGGCGGAATGTGCGCTTTGAAAAGGGAAAAACCTTGGGGGAGGAACATGTGCAAATTATTCTTGCTGTTCTGCAGTTGTCAGAAGCTGAGCTGCGTGAGGGTAAAGAGCAAATAGTGCCACCTCCTGGCAATGTGATGAAAATATGTGCATGTGCTCCGAGCTGGCAGGTACGGGTGGTACCCTGGTCACAGTGTTAGTGATGTACGGGACAATGTGGAGCATCGGTTACATGTTCTGGAGGAGCAAAAGCCTTTTAAGGCCTTGAGTCTAAAGAATCTAGATGTTAGCAAAGTAGATAGGAATTAGGAAATAATCTGTCTGTGGATGCCTACTTGTTTGCCTGCTTTGCTTCTTCTTTTTTGACATCTCAAGCCCTTTTAACTCTTCTGCCATGGAGTTAGGCCTCATGGCACATCAGGATGCTGAGAAGAACTGTGTTCTAGTCATGTTTAACTGTTCCATTCTGATTTCTGAATGTACAAGAATTAATTTCTTCCCAAGGTCATAGATATCCCTGAGGTCTGCCTGGTTACTAGCCTAGTTGGTTCTACAGTTACTATGAATCTGTTTTACAGTTGCTCTAGAAAACTTGTCACCTGCTTCTGGTTGACATGTCTACACCACAGACAGGAATCTCATCACCTTCCTCATGTTTTGTTTTTCAGGTGGTACCAGAGAGATTGGGTCTGCTCTCACCAGGATGTGTATGAGGCACAGAAGTATAGAGTCCAAACTCCGTCAGTTCTCAAGGTGAGTGGTTCTGTACCTGGCCCGGAGCTTGAGGTTTGTCTTTCATTTGCTGCTAGGGAAGCACCTAAAGCTCTTCATCAACACTGGCTTTTCAGGTGATCTCTGACCATGTCTCTGAGAACAGCTGTTGTTTTCTGCTCCACAGCACGCTAAGTGTTATGAACATGCAAGGTTTCACTACATGTTCTGGGGACTCTTGTTACCTCAAATCCCTCTAAATGCTGCAAATTCCCACTGTTGGTTCCTGTTGCTCCCTGCTGAGCAGGCAGCCACTGACGTGACTGACCTGTCTTTGTTTCTGGACTTTAAGGTTTGTCACAAAATTTTAAAGCAGGAATGAGTGTTTTGCTTCTTCCTCAGCTTATTGCAGAGCCCAAATAGCTTGCATCCAATAAAGAAACTTTTCAGCAATCAAGTATGGAAAAAGCAAATTCTCTCATCCCTTTTTGCAGTTAGACTGTAGAGTTAATGGGAGAGGATCAACTCATGGGCAAGTTGGGCTAGACATGAACAGCCTACTTCTGTAGTAATTTGTACATCTACCTTTTTTAACCAGACCTAAAAGTTTTACTGGACCTGAGGTGAATCAAAAGTATACTACTCTGATTTGCCCGATGATCTAAGATTATTTTTTCCCTTTAAAAATAAAGATATTTATGAAATTGGCTCTGTGGAGACAACACTAGTCTCTAGTTAGCCCAGAGTTAGCTGCTTAAGTGATTCAATCCCAATCTTATCAGTTAGTGGAGCATTACTAGTGCTGTATCATAGACTCCACTGGTGAGAGGTGAGGAACAGGGGTGGGCAGGATGTTGTTTGCTTGTACAACTGCTCTGTCCTCATGCTTATATACATGTGGTATTTAAGTTTGTCATCTTAATGACTGCATGAACCTTTCTGGTCTCTGAGTATCCATTTAAACTGCTCTTTGTAGGATCTAGCTGTTTACATTGGCTCTGTTTCTGGTCACTCCTCTGGTTCACACTCTGTCCCTTACTGTCCTGAACTTCTGCACAGTGATTCTGGTTATCTTGTGGTGTGGACTTTGTTTGGATCCAGGCCTTTCTTTTGCTTTCTCCGTCTTAAGCATTTTCATGTTCTGGTATTTACATTGTGACACTGGTAGCTGTCGCTGCAAAAAGTAAAAATACTCCAATATTGACCTTGGCTCTCTACATAAGAATAGGGGCATCTGCAGGATTTGATTGCTCTTTGTGTTTTTTCAACAAAATTAGTGCTTTAATTGACTGTCTGATAAACCCACTTCAAGAACAGATGGAAGAGTGGAAGAAAGTGGCCAATCAACTGGATAAAGACCATGCAAAAGGTAGTTACAGAGGAAGAATTCTTTAATAGGAGTAAGATTGTAATATCAGCTTTTCTTCCTCTTTTCATGTTTGTACTGGGGAACTGAATGACGTGCTTAAATATGTATAGTAACTTTTCTCTTCTAAAAATTGTGCTGCTAGCAAATTTTTAACCCATTGCTTATACATTTTGAAGGTTTAGTTTGCAGGACCCCAAGGGATGGGTTGTTTTTCTAGATGGGTAAGCAGTGACTAGTTTTAACTCTGTTAGCCCATTCTCACTGTATGATCTCCAGTAGTGCTGAGGAGTGGGGATGCAGCAGCTATCCCTGCAAAGCCCCGGGGTGAAGTTAAAAGGTAACTGTAAGACCATGTTATGTTTCAGACATAACATCCTCCAGAGAATGCACAGCCCTGGAAAACATTCATCATTGTTATTTTATATCTGATGCGATACAGAAATGTGCACCTGGGGAATGGGAAGGCTGTGTGGTTGGACGTAGGATGCTCAGAGCCCCAGTGCTGATCCAGCTCCAGAGGTTTTCCTGGGGGAATGAGCAGGAGGCAGCAAAATCTTGTACATCAAGAGCATGTTGGATTTGCTAAACTTGTACTGGGGATGATGGCCCTCTAGCATGGGGGCTGAAAGCAGGTTGCAGTTCACTACTGGCCCTTGAAAAGTAAAGACTTTTGCTATGTCTGAAAGAAGCAGCATCACCATAATTTATTTGGGGGGGGAGGGGTGAGAACTGATGGGAAGGAGCATGCTTGGCCTCCCAAAGAGGATTTGCTTCTTGCCCCAGTATTACTGTGGTTAAATAGAAGAAGCTAAATCAGCAGCTCTTAACAATTCCCACTGTGTGCTGTGGAGAGTGTTAAACAGGTAGTGAGCAGGAGGGAGGAATCACCTGGGTTCCTGAAGGTGACCCTGGCAGTGACCTCAGTGGCAGTGAGATTTAGGGTTTAGTGGGTAGACTTGGGCCTTGGGTGTACAGTTGGCCCTGATATAGTTCCTGTGCCTGCCACCAGCCTGCTTCTGTTTTTCCATCTATAGAAGAATAATAACATTGATCTCCTTTGTTAAAGTGTATGTGCACATGTATATGTACATACATGCATACGTGCCTTTATATATATATATTATTTTTTTTTAAAGTACCAATTTTCATATCTGGTACCTTTAGTGTGCCTGGACTAGAGGTGGAATATTTTGGTTTGGGATTTTAATTCTCCAAGGATTTGCAGCTCATCTGAAAATGAGGACAACTGCATTGTGCTCCACTTCATCAGAAAGAGCTAGCAATGTGACCCTTCCTTGGGCAAAGTTTTACCACCCTCTCTGGCTGCCTGACTCTCATGATGGAGAGGGATCACAGGGTTTTCTTTGCCTTGCCATTTCTGGATACTTTGTTTTTGAACACAGATGTTTTGAGAAACCTGTAATCTCTGTTTTCCATTCCTGAGAGGGGATGAGTCTCTGAAATGAAAAGCATTCTAATTTTGTACTGTGTTCTTAGTTGTTATTTCTGTAAAGGCTTTGTTTATTTGGGAAAGATTTTGGTATATGAATGTGCTCACACTCTAAAATGTTATATTAAGCCAAACATATAGGCAATACAAAATGTGAGTTTCAAGCTCCTTTGATTAATAGTAGCTGTCCTCTTAAAATTCATAGCCTAATGTTTTTTAACAGCCTTTTCTGTGTAAAACTTTCATTTTAACACTGAGTGTGGTAATAATAGAGCCTGTGTGTTTCTTCAGAATACAAAAAAGCCCGCCAAGAGATAAAAAAGAAATCATCTGACACACTGAAGCTACAGAAGAAAGCAAAGAAAGGTAACTTGCTCCATACTTGTACTGTTAAAAGCCTTTTCTGCAATGCTCATTGACAAAGATTGAACAGCGATAGTACTTTCTATTGTAAGAATCTTGTCCCCTCTAATGTATTCCTGGTATGTACTTGAACACCAGGGTAAATTACCATGTGTCATTTAAATCATATTCTGAACCTGCTGTCTAATGTTCTTACACAAAAGCCTTAAAACTGTTTGTACAAAGTCAATCATGTATAAAATAGAGCTCTTTCTCCTAACTTATTCCTGTTAGAAAGGTTGACATTGTAACATGACTTGTGCAGATACCTGTAAAGTTTTCTAGAATCTTTTGGAATAATACAAAAAATCCATTATGCAAATGTGCTGTAACTATTAACATTTCTCACTGTTCTCCCTTTCCATCACCTTTCTTCTTTTTTTTTTTTTTTTTAACAGCCTGTAATCTCCTAAACCTTACATTATTCCTCAGAGTGTGAGAAGGTGGCATGGGTTGTTGTCAGGGGGAGGGCACCTGGCAACCATAGAAAACTAAAGATGAGTAAGAAGAGAAAGGGAGTTCTCCACAAAGGCAATCTGTCTTTTTCAGCAGCTGAATCTCATGCTTCTGTTGCTCTCCCACCATCATCTTGTCACAGGAGTTTCATCATCATGTTAATGGAAACGTGCATCGCTGATAGCTGCAGCCTTGCCAGCACTGAGGGTTTTACTTGGCCAAGTGCTAACCCCACCAGGCTCTGGGAAAATGATAAGGAACTTGTACAGAAGCAGACTTTATGGTTCCCTATTCTGCACTGGGCTCTTCCCAGCTGGGTAGGAAGTGTGCTTTGAGCAGCTCTCGGCCTGCATGTTGCAACTTGTGCTTCCCCTCCTGCCCAAAAACTCAGAGCCCAGGGACAAGCAAAATAAGCACTGGGGCAGCAAGTTTCTCAAACTTTATACATTGTGTGTTATCCAGAGTAGGTGAGCTGTTTCTAGCTGTCCTTCCTAATAGGTGAGTCAATAATAATGCTGGCAAAAAGCCACATGACTGGAAAACTGCTCTTTAATTTTAGCTGACTTTAGATGAGGGGTGAGGGAGGGAGAGATAGAAGGTAGCAGGAGGAAGCTCGTAGGCTCTGTGTCTCTATCCATATAAAAGTTTACTGTTCTAAAACACAATGGTCAAATTTAGGAGGACAGGAGTTTTTGTGATAGGATTTTATTTTTGGGTGATGTGTAAACATGTTTCTTATTTTGTGTGATGAATTTTGTCTGACTTCAGATTGACAGCTTTGGAGATTCTGTGCTGTTCCCTCTGTTTCTTTTCCTTTCTTCCCCCATTTTCTGGTCTCATCACTTCCTGTGCCCACGTGATACACACAACCCCTCAATGCGACATAGGTAAGAGCTGAGAAAAGCACATCTGTGACCTGGGAAGAAGGAACCATTTTTTTAACCTGTTTCTGTGAATTAGCAGCTATCTGGCTCCATCTCCCTTTTCACAGAATCACAGAATGTTAGGGGTTGGAAGGGACCTTGAAAGATCATCTAGTCCAACCCCCCTGCCAGAGCAGGGTCACCCAGACCACATCACACAGGAATGTGTCCAGGTGGGTTTTGAATGTCTCCAGAGAAGGAGACTCCACAACCTCTCTGGGCAGCCTGTTCCAGGGCTCTGTCACTCTCATAGTAAAGAAGCTTTTTCTGATGTTTACATGGAACCTCCTCTGTTCCAATTTGCACCCATTCCCCCTTGTCCTATCACTGGACATCACTGAAAAAAGCCTGGCTCTGTCTTCCAGACACTCACCCTTAACATATTTATAAGCATTGATGAGGTCGCACCTCAGTCTCCTCCAAGCTCAAGAGACCCAGCTCCCTCAGCCTTTCCTCATCAGGGAGATGTTCCACTCCCTTAATCATCTCTGTAGCTCTGTGCTGGACTCTTTCAAGGAGTTCCCTGTCCTTCTTGGACTGAGGGGCCCAGAACTGGACACAATATTCCAGATATTTTATTGCTTCTGGGTATTGAATAAATCAATCTGCAGTCTTGGAGGAAGAGACAGCATTTTCTGTGTGGTGGGAAGAGGAGGGAGAAGCACTTAAAGCCTTCTGAAAAAAACCTGCTCTCATACTGTAGATGCCACTGTAGGTTTCTGTCAGCAGTGGTTAAACCAAGTGGACTTTCTCCTTGAATTTTCTGGGTTCCTGTCTCCCTACCCAAACGTGTGCCACATCTAGTGATGAGGGTCAGCACACTGGTGTCTCATCCTCCCTCAGGATTAAACATCTTTGAGCAGGGAGTGGAACAGGCCTCATTTTGTTCTGATTTTTATAGCAGCCATGCTATGATTGAAGATTTTTCTTTTTGTGGTAATGTCATTCCCTTGATTAATTTTACTGTTGTGACATGCTTTTGCAGTCTTCTGCTGTATTTTTGTGCTGTGTCCCTCAGAAATGTTATCATAGACGTGGTGTTTGGGTCCAGAGCACAAAGCCAGTGGGACTGAGGTGGGGTTAAAGCTGGTCACAGAGGAACACATACGGGAAAGGTGCAAGCAATGAAGGCTCACAGGCAGCCAGTGCAGGGGAAAGAAGGAGCTGCAGTACGTTTGAGAAGCTGAGACCTACTCTCACAGCCCCTGGGGAGGAGAGGTGCAGTGAGGTGCTGTGGCTCATACAGATGTGAGAATGAATGCCCAAAATTGCTGTTTCTGTGGGTTCCCAGCATGAGTGGGTGGGAGTTGGGAGGAAGTTCACCCTGTCTTCTTACAAGTTATCTGCAGTGCTTAAATACAGAAGAAAAAAAACCAACAAGATTTTTTTTCCACCTCCCCTCTTTGCCTTTTTGATCCCTACCTGAAAGGAGCAAAGCATTGGTCTGACTGGAATGTGAAACGTTGTTATGAAAACATTTTTGCATGTACCCACCTTGATGGATCTGTTTCATGTGCTACATGGTGTGAAGTATGTTGCTCTTGCTGTTACTGAGGGATTAAAAAGATCAAGAGAGGGTTTACCTATAAAATGATGGAACTGCACAAGTGATTCTGTGTTAGGTCACAAATGAGGTCTGAACTACAGGAAGGGAAACTTCTGGGTGAAACTCTCCTGGCAGGCACGTGACTGAGTGCATGAATGTCTTACTGTGTCTTAACTCTTGTTTTCCTGTTGCTCAGACTTACTTTTTTTGTTCTGTTCTTCCTCAAGCAGGACCTGTCCCTTTGATTTTTCTGTAAAGTTACTGACTCACCTATGGGAACTCTAAAACAAGCAATTCATTCCCTTCCTAGCTCTTGTAAGAATATTTTTGAACTAACCTTATGATCATCTGTGGGCAAGTGAGATTTTTGCTGAATTCTGGATTTGCTTAAATACTGTGCATGCTACTAAAAATATCCTTCAAGCTTTTTCTGTTGTGACTGGATGGGAAAGTGGTTTTCTCTTGCTTTGGGCAGCTTCAGATCTAGGAACTCATATCTAACCCTCTACTTTTCTCATTCACATCATGGCAATGGTGTCTTCTCTCCCTGCTACGTTGGGCTGCAGAGGCTCCCTCTCGTAGCCAACAGCTGCAGCATGGATAGCACTTGGTCCTTGCCTGCATCCCAAGGAAGTTTGGGAGAAAGGGCCATGGGCTGCGTGGCTTGTCCTGGCAGGAGCTCTGCAGGTCAGGCACCCCACCTTAGCACTAAGGGGCTGAATACTTTGGGGTGTTTGCCTGTCCTCTGGCTTGTGCATGGTCTGTTTGTCCTAGTTCCATGTGGCCAAGTTGAAAGTTCAGGCTGGGCATTTGAAATAATTTATTAGAAATTATGTTTGCAGAGTAGGTGTGTTAATTGCAATGAAGTGATGGGAAAAACACCAAACTTTCCAAACAAAAAAAGTTGTTAGGGTTCATTTGGAAGTTTGCTAGGATGTATCTGGTAAAATGACAGGTCTGTGTGTAAATGAAGGTCTTGCATTTCAAAAGACCTTACAGGAATAATTTTCATTGGTTTTGTTGTCTTTAACTATAAAAAAAATAAAAATCCATATGAAATCTAAATACATGTAGTCTGAATAAGATCCTGGTGCACCTCCCAGATCCATGCAGTCCCTGAAGGTGTCATTGTGATCTTAAAGGTACATCCTTTTCCTAACACCTGTGTTCCCAAGAGGAGCAGACCAGCAGGACAATTGACCGGCATAGAAACTAAGGTCTTGTCTGAACAGATAAAGCTACGTCCTGCATGGAGCTTCATACATCTAAATTGCTCTTTGTTTTCAGACAAACATTGGGCATCAGAAGTCAGCCCAGCTAGCCTGAGTCAGCAGAATAATTATGCATATATTTAAAATAAATGCCATGTTTAGGTTTCTGTTGAGTCAAAGCCTCCTAAGTGGATCCATAGCTGCTAGAAGCTGTTGATGCTATATTGAATTCAGAGGAGGGACAGCAGCTGTGGCTCTTCATGTAACCATTTGGGAAGTTAATAAGATGCATGGTTCTTAGTTTAAAACAAAAACAACAAACAAACGCAAAACAAGTGACCAACTTAAAATATAACTGAATGTATATCTAAAATCTGGGGTGCGTGTTGGCCTTATTTTCTATATTTCAGCTTGGCTATTAATTATCAGCTAGACAGGTTTCCTTTCTGCCTGTAACGTGACTGGAAGGTTTCATTTTCAGGTTCTTTGTGTGACACTGTGTATGAACTTTGAAGAAAATGTTTAAATCCAAGAAGATTTATGAAAAGGAGTTATATGTAACACTACCAGTAATTTAACATGTGTTAAAAATGTGTGAAAATTCAGCTTTATCTCTAAGCCATTTGTAGAAGTTTCTGCAGAGTGCCCTGAACATTTCAGTGCAGTATTTTGTGTCCCATCAATACTGAGTGTCTGAACTCAGCACCTCAGCTTTTGAGAATGCAGCAGGTTTGGACAGCATTGTTACTTTGAATGAAATTGAGAGAGTAAAACATTATTGTTCATTTACTGTAATACTTCCAAAATTGTTTCTTCTACTCCTCCTCA